CTGAAGAAGCAGTGATTGACAAGGACCCCCATGGTGGGGTCTTGGGGCCTGGACAGCGACCAGGGGTCCTGAGTGCAGCTGTCAGTGTCTCCTGACCTGGCACATCATGCTTTTTAGATACTGGAGAGGAGTCACATGTGGGGCCTTGGCACTCACCTTGGCTGTTTATGCAAGTGTACGCCTGTACGTGGGATGCAGTTGCATGCACTCATGGTTTCCCCATTTCATTGACTCAAGCACGGGAGATTCCTAGAAGCAATGTCTCTCCAGGGATTAGCTCCTAAAATAACCCTCTCCCCTGGCTGGAAGCATTTCTTTCTCATCCTCCTCATCCCAAGCCTGCTAATGGCCACCCTGTCATTTCCTGACCACTCGCCCCATCCTTTCATTGTCAGATATGCCCATCTCCCTTTCTGCTGTCCTGTCCACCGCTGACAGTCGCTTCAGGCTCCATCCAATACCCTCCTCCAGGAAGCTTCTTGGACAACCCCACATTGCTGTTTCCTCCCTGTAACTGCCAGCGGCACTCACCAGGCAGTCTGGCCCATGACAGATTCTCTGATTGTATCCCATCAGGATACAAGGATCTCCTTTCCCATGGTTTTCTGTCTCTTCTTTTAGCCATGTCTTATCTGATCACACCTCAGCTTGTCTCTACTCCTCTTAAAATGGGAAGGCTGGAGTTAAACACAGTAACTTAGGAATGCTCCATCCAGCCCTGAGGAAAGGGGGGTGCTGATTACTTACATCTTTATTCTAGACACTCTCCTTCTAGACTTTTCCACATCATTCTAGTGCTTTGGCCTGAGGTTACCAAATGCCAGGTGTCAGAGTATAAAGGGCTGATTCACTGGTGGTAACAGCAGGGCCTCCACAGTCTTTCCACCCCTTTACTGAGGCAAGTCCAAATGTAATTCATCAGGACACTTTCCTGCCTTCTTTGTTCCTCAAAAGCAAGATGTCACATTCAGTCCCTCAAATCTCAAAAACTCAGTTATTTTGTGAAATTCTGGAGACGACTTTAGTATATGACCTACGTATAAAAAGCAGAGATGTTGGTCATTTTCTGTGCTACCCTGCCCTACATACCTCCCAATCAACTGGGTGGGTTGATGATGTTCTATAAACCACACAATGGCTTCACCTGCTGCTTCCAGGGAGGGTGACTGATTCTGCCACCCCCTCTGCCAGGTGACTCTGAGATTCCAAAGGCTGGCACTGCAGTACCAGTTCAGTACCAGTAAGGTCCTAAATAACTGGATAGGACGGACCTTACAATGTGTTCATCTATTAAAAAGAAATGAGAAGCCCGGGTGCCGTGACTCACACCTGTAATCCCAGCACTTTGGGAGGCTGAGACAGTTGGATCACCTGAAGTCAGGAGTTCGAGACCATCCTGGCCAACATGGTGAAACCCCGTCTCTACTAAAAATACAAAAACTGAGCTGGGGCATGGTGGTGCATGCCTGTAGTCCCAGCTGCTTGGGAGGCTGAGGTGGAGAATCACTTGAACCCAGAGGTGGAAGTTTCAGTGAGAACTCCAGCCTGGGCAACAGAGCAAGACTGTCTCAAAAAAAAAAAAAAAAAAGAGAGAGAAAATGTGCCCGCTTCCTGAACTATTATGAAGCATAACAAATTTGGCTGTTCTTGCTACTGCTGCCACTGCTAGGTGAACTACCAGTGCACCTGCTATTTTTATGATTTGCTTTCTGTCCACGTGAAACAATGAAAGTAGGGTTTTGGGGAGTTAAGAGGACAAACCACTCTCCTCCCTTTCTTTTAACATTTCTACCCACATGTCAGAATGTGTAGAAAATTTTGCAATTTGGTCAGTTTCCTCTAATTTGTACATATCTGGGATGTGATACCCTGTGTGGAGGCCAGAGGGGTCTTTGTCACAAGAAGTATCAGCTCAGAGAAGGTCCACACACATTTAGACTGGAGGAAATGGGTGGGGATGTGAGATGATGAAGCTCTCAGAAAGAGCGTCCTGCTGGGCACAGAAGACTGGCTGCCCTGAGAGGCTGGCAAAGTCACACGCAGGGTCTCTGAGAGTGTGAATGGCACTGGCCCAGGGGACGTGCCGCGTAGATCCCAAGGAAATGCAGGGACTTCTGGAGTACGGAACACTTAACCCACCCACCCACCTACTCCCCTGCCTGCCTGCCTGACCCTCAGTAATACACATCATCCTTTTTTTCTTTTTTTTTCTTTTTTGAGACAAGGTCTTGCTCTGTTGCCCAGGCTGGAGCTCAGTGGTGCAATCTCGGCTCACTGCAATCTCTGCCTCCTGAATTCAAGCGATTCTCCCGCCTCAGCCTCCCAAGTAGCTGGGACTACTACAGGCATGTGCCACCACACCCAGCTAACTTTTTTTTTTTTTGTATTTTTAGTAGAGACAGGGTTTCATCATGTTGGCCAGGCTGGTCTCAAACTCCTGACCTCAGGTGATTAGCCCACCTCGGCCTCCCAAAGAGAGGGATTACAGGCATGAGTCACCGTGCCCAGCCTCACATCACCCTTTTAACAAGAAGAGAACCTTTAATTCCACAAATATACTTAGACTCAAAATTTCACTGAAAGCATAGTTTCTAAAGTAAAGTAATGTATGGGGTGAGTTCACAATAGAAGTATTTTCATGGAGGTGACAGAAGGACCTTCCTTGGAAGGTCTCAGGCACATGGTCTCCCTGAGAAAGGAAAAATGGAATATAAGCTCATTACATGAAAATGACACAGAGAGACTATTTGCAGAGCCTGAGTTTTGCATGAGGAAAGAAAAAAGGAAGGGTGTGAGTTAACTTTGGACTCTTAAAATAGAGAAGGAGGCATTAGGGACCAGAATACGAAAGGGAAAGAAGGGTGACTCCTGATCTCAAAAAAAATTAGCATTATCCAAATACCCAATGAACCTTCCCTGCTAGAAAATGAACAGGTTTCTTGACACAAATATGAGAAGATGCTAACATTTCTTTATTTCAGGTTATAGGTAAGTAGATATGTTATATTATTCTCTGTACTCTTCTATTATTTCAATTTTTTTATACTTCAGAAAACATGCAAGGAAAAATTGAAAATAAGAGTCTCCGTCAATACAATGAAACACTGCCACTGTTTAAAAAAACGAGGAAGTTTATGTTCTCACATGCAAAGGTGTCTAAAAAATTATAAAGTGAAAAAAAAAACAAGTTTCAGAACAGCGTATTTCATCCAGTCCTATCTGTATGAAATACTGTTAACGTATGTTTGTATATGTCCTTTTATATGCATAGAGCTAAATCTAGAAAAGACAAGTTATTAACAGAAGGTGAATTATATGCATTAGGCATTTTTCTAAAGTATGAATTTCTATGATGAATATGTATTACTCTTATATTCATGGTAAAGCAATAATGACTTTTTTTTTCCTTGAGACAGAGTCTCCCTGTGTCACCTAAGCTGGAGTGCAGTGGTGCGATCTCGGCTCACTGCAACCTCTGCCTCCCAGGTTCAAGCAATTCTACTTGCCTCAGCCTCCTGAGTAGCTGGGATTACAGGTGCCTGCCACCGCACCAGGCTGAATTTTTTTATTTGTAGTAGACATGTGGTTTCATCATGTTGGCCAGGCTGGTCTTGAACTCCTGACCTCAAGTGATGCACTTGCCTCGGCCTCCCAAAGTGCTGGAATCACAGGCGTGGGCAACCATGCCCGGCCAACAGTGACTTTTATAAATAATCCATGGAGCAGAAATGCCAAGCCTCAAGCTCTTCTTAGTTACTAGGCCGCCCTGTGGATCTTTGACTGGAGATTTCCCCCTGCCCTGTCCTTGCATGTCCTCCTTCCTGATGTGACACTTGGATGCCGGTGAGAGGGCCCGTGACAGATGCCAGCAGTGGTGGCGATGACAAGCCCAAAGCCACATTTGTTCCATTACTTCCACCTCCTCATTGCCTTTCCAGTCCCTGTAGTAAGAGCTCATTTCTCTTATCTGCACAAAGCAAGAGTCAAAAGTTCTTGTCAGTGTGATTGCAGAACATCGGACTGGAAAACTTCCTGATAATACCTAAATTCCTTTAGCAGAGCTGACCCTGGAATCGGGTCAGGAGAGCTATGTGGCTTCAGCACATTGTGTACTGTGCAGTTGGATAATAAACCAGATCAAATTTGGCAAATAAAAACATAAGGGACATATAAGGATGTCGTTCTTGTCCCATCTGGTGTGATAACCCCTCTCCTACACCAGTTTATCTGTTCCCTTAGCAAAACCATGCAGGCTGCTGAGGAAGAGTCTCTGCTTGTTGAGCCATTGAGGAGTTCCAAAATAGACACAAAGATAGGAGGAATACAAAGAAATTCCAAATAATAGAAACATAAGGATCAAGCTGAAGATTCTGAGACACATTTATGGCCTTTGTAAACAGTCATACATTCATTGGGACACTCTTCAGGACACTCTGGTGACATTAGCTAATTCTGACATTTAGGAATTTAAACTTACTAGCTGTCCTAGCTTATCCTTATTAACAAAGTTTGCTAAACATTTTGTGCTGTGTGCCCTGCTTTATATTTGAAGATGATGCAAATGGCAGGCTGTCATCTCAATTCCATCTCTCATCGTAAAATCTGAGGGACACAGCCACATGCTCCCACCGTGTTTTCCTCCGGCTTCATTCTGCACACAGCATTCCCTGTTATTTCCTTCATCTTCCCCAATTTAGTTTCAAAAACACATGGGTTCCCATAGAAAATGGGAAGAAATCCAGAAACCTGCAAATAAAGTTTAACAAATGATAACCTTTGATAGAGCCCTCTTTCCTCCACACCAAACAAACCACTTTTATTAACTCGAATTCCCTTATGGGAAACCAAATAATTTAAAATATAGCTCCACTCTTACCTAAACTGAAAACAAACTGGAGAGAGGCGTACTTCTATTAGAAATGACACATCAAAGCATTTCCACAAAAAAGCCCTTTGATCCTCCTAAACCACTGACCACGCTCCTGGGTTTCACCCCCCAGGTAACCAGGTGAGTTTCTCCAAATCCGCGGATGCTTTTGCCTTTGAAGAGGACAGCAGCAGCGATGGCCTGTCTCCGGATCAGACTCGAAGTGAAGACCCCCAAAACTCAGCGGGATCCCCGCCAGATGCTAAAACCTCAGAGACCACTTCGACAGGTTCTCTGGGGACGATCCAGGTAAAAAAAAAAAAAAAAAAAAGGTAAAACAGCATCTTAGCATATTGTCATTTCACAGTCTTAAAATCAACACCATTACAGCTGGCTTTGCTTAGAGACCCCAGACGTCCCGTGCTGACACAGCGTTTTGATGCCTCTTCTCATGCTATTCAGCACAGCCATCTATGTGGGGTGACAAAAGCTGCAGAAAACACTGACAGAGAACCTCCAGCACTACACCATTTATCTATTAACCATCCACTCTGCCAAGCAGATATCTTGATAGCTCCATTTTTATGAAATATCTAAGGCTTGGTGAGATTGGATGACTCACCCACAATCTCCCAGCTAAAGTGCCAGAGCAGGACTGATTTAAAGTTCACCATCTCTCTGTGTCCCGAGTACTCATGACAGGGGTCAGGGGAGTGGAGAGAAGGAAGCGCTGGTTCACTCCAAGGCAGGGAGGCCCACGTTGGTTCTGCTCTTAGCAGGTTTCTACCTAGCAAACTACTACAGAATCGACTTCCTGCCCCAACCCAAGCATAACACTCACCTCTTTCTGGGCAAATCTACAAACCCTTGAGTGTGAGGAACATGTATTGAGAATGCTCTTAAAGCACATTCGTAAAGAATAATGATGAATGACAGCTCCTGCTGCAAACTAAGTGTTCACTCTGGGGCAGGGGCAAGGCCAAGTGCTTCATAAATGTTCCTTCTTTGAAATCAGAGACCCCTCCAAGTAGACATCACTGAGGTTGATTCTGACAGAGGAGGAACTAAAGCTCTTTGAGGCTGTTAAAAGCAAATTTTCAGTGCCAAAAAAAAAAAAAAAAAGCACTCGAACACAAATTTTCTCAGCAAGGCAATTTTTACTTCTATAGAAGTTTGTGTCTTGCAGATAAAACAATGTGAGAACACACCTGAACAAAGGAGGGGAAGGGGTTCTTATCCCTGACGCCAGTCACCCCTACCGCTGTGTCATTCCCCTATTGGCTAGGGTTGGATGGCACAGTCTAAGCTAATTCCAACTGGCTATTTTAAAGAGAGCAGAGGTGTGAGCCAGAGTGGCAGGCTGAGCAGTATCAGTGGGAAAGATGGCTTTGGAACAGGTGAGTAAAGGCGACTCAGGTCAGAGCAGGTGACCAGGGGTGACTCAGGATGGAGCAAGTGACCAGGGGAACAGGTATGAACTACTGACTGGAGCTGGCAGGAAAGTTGGTTAATGAAACTAGGGCAAAGAGATAAAGAGAATGAGGAAGTTAAACTTTGAGATAGAGAACAAGGAACACGGAGACTGAACATACCAGCACACTGAATCTTTGAAGAGAAATTTGGAACTCACTAAGTTGAACAAGGCTGAGCAACTGGGTGGTCTCTAGAAATATCACAGAGTGTCAGCAACCCCTGGGGAGAACAGCCAGAGGGTATTCATGGAACCCCTAAGAGATCCATGTGGGCACAACATATGAGGTGAAGGAGATGTGAGCTCTTCCATCTCTGCCCCATCCAGAGAACCCTTCAGATCTTCAGCCCCTTCCCTTTAGGAAGCATTTATTCTTTCTGACCTCACAGGAATTGTGCAATAAACTGAAATTAGACATATTTGAAAGCTGGTTTTTTTTCCCACTGAAAAATACCATGCAGATATTGGAACAGTTAAAATAATTATCATTCAGTGCCTTGTTTCCCAAAACCCTGCCAGTTACTGGTCATCGGTCAAGCCTATCTTCACCCCATCAGAGCAGACCTAAAGCTGCCAATGGGAAAATGTGAAATGGGAGGGAAAAGGGAGGCATGAAGAGCTGAGCCGAGATATGCATGTGTTTATTGTGCAAGAGTTTATAATCAAAGCGTTTTTCCTTCCCCTGCTTGCCGCAGCTGGTCTTTGCAGCCAGATTTCTTCGATAACATCAAACGGTGTATCAGCCCATTTGTACGCTTTATTCTGACAGCAAATTCCTCAACTTCTGATTTAAGAATGGTTTGAGGAAAAGGCGAGTTCTTTTCTGCTTAACCTTGGGAGGGGGAGGAAGAGAACAAACACTGAACAATGCCAGGCAAGACACGAAAATCATTTTATGTCATGTCTCCCGGCAATCATGTTGGACAGAAGAGGACACTGAGGCTCCAAGAGAAAAGAATCCTTCGGGGCTTTGACAGGTGCCAGGCAGGGCTTAGGGAAGACCTACAAAGCTCATTCCTGACCCTCCAGTGGAGAGATCACGGGCAGTCCCGGCTCCTTTATGTCAGAGTTGAAATAGAGAAATGTAGGTGAGAAAGAGAAAATAATTATTGCCTTTATAGACTCTGCCTCGCATAAAGGTTTTTTTATGACTTTAGACACACGCGTACACACACACACAAACTCACATATATATATACACACAAAACCACACGTACATATACACGCTGTTAGGCGTGCATGTGTACACATATGTGCATAGACATACACAGAGACACATGCACATATATCCACGCATGTATATACCTGACATGCACTCACATATATACACACACGCACGCACATAAGCATGAATGCACTCGCACACATACATGCACGTATACACACTCGGACACACACTTGGACATACACACACATACTCTTGCACACACACTGTCCCTTTTTCTGCTAACATCCTTTTCCTTCACCTTGCCAATTGTCCTACTTTCTCCACAAATTCCTACACCCATTCTACCTTGTTGCTTTCTTTTTCAATTGCATTATCAAGACAGGTGGACCTTATCACAGACAGGTGGAATGCTCACACAGAGAGACCAGATGTCCCAGTTCACCTAGAACAGACCAGTGTTATACCTGTCTTTTGGAATCATTACTTAGAATGGTTCCTTTTCTCTCTCAAAAGTGTTCTCAACTGGATGACAGGTATTTTATATCTGTTTGTATATATACACACATGTATGTATGTGACTCCTCCCCGCCAGGAAGGGAGGCTGATACTTACTTGGGGCAAGAAAGCAGCAGAGGTATGTATATGGACTCTACTCTGACATTTCTGTGTCACACATCTTATTCCTCTATCTTAATAACTGTAAAATTTGGATTTCAGGATCTCGCTTCTGGCTCAGAAAATGACAGGAATGACTCGGCCTCACAGTCCAGCCACCAGTCAGAGGCGGGGAAGCAGGGCCTTGGCGCCCCCAGCACCCCTCTAGCCATGCACACTGCTGTAAAGGTACAGACGCGCCAGCCTCCAAGCCCCTCCTGAGCACTCGGCTCACAGAGCCAACTCAGAGCAGAGCTTTCTGAGTTAGGTCTGACAACACGAGGAGAGCCACACAGGGGACTCGTGTAGAGCTTCAGCTCACTGGGGCTGTCACAAAACAGGAGATGGGAGATGGGTGACTAGCGTATATGGACCAAGATTTTATTATCCATGCAACGAAGCAGAGGTCACCTCTGCCATGGAGAAAGCTGTACATATCTGTACCCATGTATGCACACCGGGGTGTATATGTACATGTGGTTTTGTGGGTGTATATAAGTGAATCTGTGGGTTTGCATTTCTTTGGGATCACAGCTCAGCCAGCATGTTCCTGACTTAAAAGATTTCATGGCCAGGCATAGTGGCTCAAGCCTGTAATCCCAGCACTTTGGGAGGCTGAAGCGGGCTGATCACAAGGTCAAGAGATTGAGACCATCCTGGCTAACATGATGAAACCCCGTCTCTACTAAAAATACAAAAAAAAATAGCTGGTCTTGGTGGCATGCATCTGTAGTCCCAGCTACCCGGGAGGCTGAGGTAGGAGAATTGCTTGAACCCAGGAGGCAGAGGTTGCAGTGAGCCGAGATCAAGCCACTGCACTCCAGCCTGGAGCCTGGTGACAGAGTGAGACTCTGTCTCAAAAAAAAAAAAAAAAAAAAGATTTCATAAGCTCACCCTTGAGGTAGGCACAGCTGATTGTGAGACAGGATTTGCAAGTTTCATCAAATAGGTGTATAGGGCAGTTGAATTTTATGCAAGGGAAATAACCCTGAAGACCTTGCATCATGTAAGTCTTACATCATTCAAGCCAGTCTTCCTCTGGAAATAAACGTGGGGTTTCTTTCATAGTAGACAGGTAGCTATAATCATTACAGTATATGCATAATTGTCTCAGCATTATATCTTGTTAATTTTTTATTTTTATTTCAATAGTTTTGGAGGTACTGGTGGTTTCTGGTTACATAGATAAGTTCTTTTTTGTTGTTTGTTTTTTTGAGGAGTTTCGCTCTGTTGCCCAGCCTGGAGTGCAGTGGCGTGATCTCGGCTAACTGCAACCTCCATCTCCCAAGTTCAAGGGATTCTACTGCCCTCAGCCTCCTGAGTAGCTGGGATTACAGGCAGGCGCCACCGTGTGCCCGGCTAACTTTTGTATTTTTAGTAGAGACGGAATTTCACCATGTTGGCCAAAATGGTCTCCACCTCCTGACCTCGTGATTCACCCACTTTAGCCTCCCAAAGTGCTGGGATTACAGGCATGAGCCACCGCACCCGGATGGTTAAGTTCGTTAGTGATGATTTCTGAGATTTTAGTGCACTCGTCACCTGAGCAGTGCACGCTGTATGCAACATGTAATCTTTCATCCCTCACCTCACTCCCAATCTTCCCCCAACCCTCACATTCCATTATATCATTTTTATGCCTTTGCATCCTCCTAGCTTAGCTCTCATTTAGAAGTGAGAACGCATGATATTTGGTTTTCCATTCCTGAGTTACTTCACTTAGAATAATGATCTGCAGCTCCAACCCAGTTGCTGCAGAAGACCTTGTTTTGTTTCTTTCTGTGACTGAGTAGCATTCCACATTGCACATGTACCACATCTTCTTCATCCACTTGTTGGTTGATGGGCACGTAAGTTGGTTCCATATCTTTGCACTTGAGAATTGTGTTTCTATAAACACCAGCATTGTATCTCACAATACATAGGCTGCTTGGGCCGGGTGTGGTGGTTCACACCCGTAATCCAAGCGCTTTGGAGGCCAAGGCAGGCAGATCACCTGAGGTCAGGAGTTCAAGACCAGCCTGACCAACATGGTGAAACCCTGTCTTCAAAAAAAAAACAAACAAACAAACAAACCTAGGCTGCTCTCTCTTCAGTCAACTACCTGGTAATCATTTGGCCTTCTTCATAAGGTCTTGGCCCAATAACTTCTAACTGATTTGGGAACACGTTTTCTCAGCTCTAGTGTCACCACTTAATGAATGTTAAAATGACTCTTATGGGATTTAAAAAAAGATTGTAAATTGAAGTAAAATCAATGATATAGTAAAAGTTTTATAGTCTAATGGATGATAGACACCTCCGTTTCCCTGTAAGTCTCCCCCACCAAACCACAAGAGCTTAAACCCAGCTGACAATTCACTCAGCTCAACAGGTTTGAAATTACATGACTATCAATGCATTTTGTTCATTGCAAGGGAAGGAGGAGGAGATGAATCCCATTATTTCTAAAGCTGAGTATAAAAAGAAATGTTATTAATATTTCTATCACAGTATTTAAATTGTGCATAATTCAAATTAGTGGCTGAGTGCAGTGGCCCACCCCTGTAATCCCAGCACTTTGGGAGGCCGAGGTGGGAGGATTACCCGAGGTCAGGAGTTTGAGACCAGCCTGGCCAATGTGGGGAAACCCCGTCTCTACCAAAAATACAAAAATTAGCTGGCTGTGGTGACATGCACCTATAGTTCCAGCTACTCCGGAGGCTGAGGTAGGAGAATCACTTGAACATGGGAGGCAGAGGTTGCAGTGAGCCAAGATCATGATCACTGCACTTCAGCCTGGGCAACGGAGTGAGACTCTGTCTCAAAAAGAAAAAAAAATTAGCAAAGCCTCAACCTCACTGTACTAGGAAGTATGATAGAAGCCCAGGAGATGGACAGATCACTTTCAGTGAAAAGGGCAGTCAATACAGACACCCAGCTGGTCCAAGTGGGCTGGTTATTTGTAGATGAGCCATCATCCCTTCTGCTTGGTCAACAAACACTCACAACCTTAGTATCCCCTGGGCTTAAAAAGAGAATAGTAGTAGTAGTCTTTACCCCACACCATCCAGAGAAAATGGTCTGATTTCAGTATCTTCTGGAATGTGCTAAGGCAACATAGAGAAAAAAACTCCTGGACCCCTGACTTAGCTGAGAGACCCTGCCAGAGCCGCAGCTCCCATCCTACCCAGACGAGGAAAGCCTCAGAATGAGGCGACAACAGCAACTGATCTGGAGCAGACCAGGGCAGAGCTGGTTTCAGGACAGAAGACAGATTAATTAATTAGAATGTTAATCGATTAGTAAGCAGGGACAAATCGAGTCACCAAACACACAGAAATACTTGTGCTCGTTATTCATTAGTCGCCAGGAAGAAGTCTCTTTGGAAAACAAAAGAGCCTTCCGGGGTGGGATGCGCTGAGTCCAAGCGAGTTGTAAGCTCCTTTGGACAAGGTCACATTCAGATGTGTGTAGTTTGTGGTTGAACTGGGGAAGCTGCCAAGTCAGAGTATGCCTGCCAGCTGTTCAGGAGCCCCCTCTTCTGGTAACAGGTGGTAACACATTTTCCTTCCAATGATCCCCCAAATCCTTGGTCACTTGCAGTCATTACATCCAGGTTCTTCATTTCAACCTTCTGTAATAAAGCCAGGGTTTGAAAATTCCATTTTTGTTCTTTGAGGCAGAGTCTTGCTCTGTCACTCACGCTGGAGTGCAATGGTGCAATTTCAACTCACTGCAATTTCTGCCTCTCAGGTTCAAGCTATTCTCCTACCTCAGCCTCCCAAGTATGCTGAGACTACAAGCATCTGCGACCACGCCCAGCTAATTTTTTGTATTTTTAGTAGAGACACGGTTTCACCAAGTTGGCCAGGCTGGTCTCGAACTGACCTCAAGTTGTCTGCCCATCTTGGCCTCCCAAACTGCTGGGATTACAAGCATAAGCCATTGTGCCCAGCCTGAAAATTCCTTTTTTAACCTGATAACCCATTCCTTCATAATATAAAATAACTTATTTTATTTTTTTTTTTTTTGAGATGGAGTTTTGCTCTTGTCACCCAGGCTGGAGTGCAATGATGCGATCTCGGCTCACTGCAAACTCCACCTCCTGGGTTCAAGTGATTCTCCTGCCTCAGTAGCTGGGCCCACAAGCAACTGCCACCACACCCAGCTGATTTTTGTATTTTTAGTAGAGACAGGGTTTCACCACGTTGGCCAGGCTGGTCTCGAACTCCTGACCCCAGGTGATCCACCTACCTCAGCCTCCCAAAGTGTTGGGATTACAGGCATAAGCCATCACAGCCAGCCATGAAAGAACTGTCTACAATTAGTCTCAAGAACAAATGCCGCCTTTGTGGGCCAACGATTGGTTTTAGGTTAGAAGAATGCACTCATTGAAACACAGGATTACATTTTGCTGCACTCCAGAAAGAAAAAATTCTGGAGCTACTTCTAAGATTCAACATTCCCCGTCTAAGGAGTGTCCTTCCAGTGTGATACACTTGCAGTGAATTTGTTCGTTAGCAATGCTAATGTCCTAGGAGCTCTTTGTACATCATGCCTTTGCTATATTGTATTTCTGAGATTCAGGAATGACCATCAGACAAAACTGCCTCACAATTAATGTGTCCGTGATGCAAATTCATTCCCAGCCATCGTCTAAAGCACATGCCATTTCCTCATTCTCTTTGCAGTCCAAGTCCTTGGGTGACAGTAAGAACCGCCACAAAAAGCCCAAGGACCCCAAGCCAAAGGTGAAGAAGCTTAAATATCACCAGTACATTCCCCCAGACCAGAAGGCAGAGAAGTCCCCTCCACCTATGGACTCTGCCTATGCTCGGTTGCTCCAGCAACAGCAGCTGTTCCTGCAGCTCCAGATCCTCAGCCAGCAGCAGCAGCAGCAACAGCAACACCGATTCAGCTACCCAGGGATACATCAAGCTCAGCTCAAGTAAGTCGGGCAAGCCAGGAAGGGTGGCTGCTGGCAGAGGTTGGGAAGGGTGTCTATTAATATCTATCTGAGGCATATAGCACCTAGTAAGTCCTGTATTGCACCATCTCCTCATCCAATATGTTTGGAATGTGACTCAGTTTACAAACTATACACACCTTTTCAGAGCCATAAGACTGGGAGGAAGCAAATTCAGAGCACTCTTTATCTGCAGATGTATTGCAGACCCTCAGTAGACACCTAAAACCTCAGATAGCACTGAACTCCCAGTATACTGTATTTTTCCTAGGCATACATACCTATGGTAAGGTTTAATTTATAAAGTAGGCACAGGGAGAGACTAACAATCATAACTAGCAATAATATAGAACAATTATAGCATTTACTGTAACAAACGGTATCTGGATGTAGTGGTTTCTCTCTCAAAACATCTTATTTTACTGTACGCATCTATTTTTGAACTGCAGTTGACTTCGGGTAACTGAAATCTTGTAAAGTGAAACCACCAATAAAGAAGGGACTACTATAAATCAATGCCCTTGATAAAAGGCCCCTTTGGGAAAAAGGAAAGTATTAACACTTTCAAATTGGACTTTGGAATGTCTAAGAATGTAATACTGGAATTATGAGCAATTCCGATGCACTTCTGCTTTTAGAAGTAACAGAGCTGAGAAATAGCCTCAGAGATTACTTCCTGAGCCCAGGTTGTGTGATCACATTGCTAGGTCAACTTTTTATTTTTATTTTTTTTTGAGATGGAGTGTCACTCTGTTGCCCAGGCTGGAGTGCAGTGGCGCGATCTCGGCTCACTGCAACCTCCGCCTCCTGGGCTCAAGTGACTCTTGAAGAAATTCTCCTGTCACAGCCTCCTGAGTAGCTGGGATTATAGCCACACGCCACCGTGCCCAGCTGATTTTTGTATTTTTAGTTACAGACAGGGTTTCACCATGTTGCCCAGGCTGGTCTTGAACTCCTGACCTCAGGTGATCCACCCACCTCTGCCTCCCAAAGTGCTGGGATTACAGGCATGAGCTACCATGCCCGACTGCTAGATCATCTTTTAAACCGTTAATATCACCACTTACAACTTTAAGATATGGATTCCTCCCGTGTCATTCTCAGACCATGCTAGCAATTATGCTGAGCCCTGAACATAACCAAGCTTTACCAGATTGCTTCGCCTCCCCAGGACAGAGCATCAGCTGAGTCATAGGTGGATGTGTCCTCCGTCATATGCCAAAATCCCCCCTGCTACCTCTTCTCTCCCTAACCGAAGTTCAGATGTCACACACCACTTGCCATCTAGCCAGCACAGTTTTTTCCTCACCCCGCTGTCTTCTGCTGGTTTATTACATGCCTGTCCCTTGTAGGCAATCACTTTGGGCTCTGATCTAAATGCAAGTTATCCCATCACTATTTGATTGTATTTGAAGTGCTTCTTTGTTTTTTAGAGAACCAAATGAACAGATGGTCAGAAATCCAAACTCTTCTTCAACACCACTGAGCAATACCCCCTTGTCCCCTGTCAAGAACAGTTTTTCTGGACAAACTGGTGTCTCTTCTTTCAAACCGGGCCCACTCCCACCTAACCTGGATGATCTGAAGGTACAGAATTTAACATGATTTTCTTTCTTTTTTTAAAACAAATACAACAGTATATTGTTGACAGCACTGCTGCAACTGGTATCTGGAGCGTGAGAGGGGGAGGGGAGGAAGACGATGGGAAACACTGAAGGAGGTGACAGAGTTTATCCTGCTGTGGTTGAACACCCCAGTTATCTAGTCCATTTTATGCAGCTGTAACAGAATACTGGAAACTGAGAACTTTATAAAGAAAAGGGGCTGGGTGTGGTGGCTCACGCCTATAATCCCAGCACTTTGGGAGGCTGAGGTGGGTGTATCACGAGGTCAGGAGTTCGAGACCAGCCTGGCCAACATACTGAAACCCCGTCTCTACTAAAATACAAAACAAAATTAGCCGGGTATGGTGGTGGCACATGTCTGTACTCCCAGCTACTTGGGAGGCTGAGGCAGGGGAATTTCTTGAACCTGGGAGGCAGAGGTTGCAGTGGGCCGAGCTCTCACCACTGTACTCCAGCCTGGTAACAGAGGGAGACTCTGTCTCAAAAAAAAAAAAGGAAAGAAAAGAAAAGAAAAGGAAAAAAGAAAGGGATTTATTTCTCACAGTTCTAGAACTGAGAAGTCCAAGGACATGGCACCAGTATCTAGTGAAGGCCATCGCATGGTAGAAAGGCAGAAGGTGAAAGGGCAAGAAAGGGCAAGAATGATGGAGACAGAGAGAAAAGGCAAACTTTATGCTTATTTTATCATAGTAAAAAATAATTTTTAAGTAGGCTATCTCCAGATGAGAGTAGGACAGGAATTGAGAAAGACAGAAGATGCCTCAGCCACAGAGAAACGTGACCCAGATATGATGGTGCCATCTGTCAGAGCCCTCAAAGGTGGTTCCCTTAGATACATATGCTCAGAATCATTGGCTGGTGAGAGTTACGATAATTAGTATAGGTATAAGGAAATGATGATGATGATGATAATGCCTACCAATTTTTTTTTTTTTTTTGAGACAGAGTCTCGCTCTGGGTCTAGGCTGGAGTACAGTGGCACTATCTTGACTCACTGCAACCTCTGCCTCCCAGGTGTCAAGTGATGCTCCTGCCTCAGCCTCTGGAATAGCTGGGACTACAGGCACCCACCACCATGCCTGGCTAAGTTTTGAATTTTTAGTAGAGACAGGGTTTCACCAAGTTGGCCAGGCTGGTCTTGAACTCCTGACCTCAGGTGATCCTCCGGCCTTGGCCTCCCAAAGTGCTGGGATGACAGGCATGAGCCATCACCATTTTCTTTATACTATAAATCGTCAGTTAATTATTCTGTGTAGATTTGCTTTAATTTTCACCCTGCAAGATAAGTTTTGTCTTCCCAATTTAAAAAGTGAAAATAAAAACAGAATCATAAAGAGGTCAAATGATAGGCAGTTTTACCAGCTTATGAATGACACAACTGAGGCTCGAACCTAAGTAACTTACTTCAAGAGCTTTGCTATTCTATGAGAGATAAGTAGAAAGAAGCCAGGCATGGTGGCTCACGCCTGTAATCCCAGCACTTTGGGAGGTCGAGGTCAAGAGATCAAGACCATCCTGGCACTCCAGCCTGGTGACAGAGCAAGACTCCATCTCAAAAATAAAAAAGAGAAAGAAAGAGAGGGATGGGCAGGAGAGAACTTAGCTGTACTTGACCACTCACTGTGTGTATGAGGAGAGGCGTCACCTGAGTCCTGGGAAAGTGACCTCCATGACAGAAAGAGAGAGAATAGAATGAGGAGTTGATGTGGAGGGATGGTGGCAAGTTTATTCAGTCTGGGAAAGTCAGGTCACAGGTACCAGCAGGGTAACCATGAGAAAAGCTGTCAGTTTCCATCAGTAAGAATTAGCCAGGCTGTGTTGTCAGAGGTAGGAACAGAAATCTCAGAATCGTGTGCAATGTGTGGGGCATTGAAACTAGAAGGGTGAATGACGTTGACAAAGAACAAAATGGAAAGAGTGAGAAGGAGGGAGAGAAGAGGAATGAAGGAAACATATGATGTAGCCACAATTGGGGAAAGGAAGAAATAAGAGGAATGGATGGATGAAGGTGACCCCCCACATAGTAATCAAAAGGTAATATTATGAAGGTGACATTTGCAAGCAATTTTCACATTTTGCCACAGAAAAGGAAAAGAACACTGAGAGAAAAGACTTTGATTTCTTTTTTTAAAGTTAGTGGTTATATCACATTATTTATTTCAATTATATCACATAATTACCCATTAAGTTAATGGATAATTTTTGCATCCTGTTTTAAAAAAAACTGGCCAGGTGTGGTGGCTCACGTTTATAATCTCAGCACCCTAGGAGGCTGAGGCTGGAAGATCAGGAGGTCAAGAGATTGAGACCATCCTGGCCAACATGGTAAAACACTGTCTCCACTAAAAAAAAAAAAAAAAATACAAAAATTAGCCAGGCATGGTGGTGTGCACCTGCAATCCCAGCTACTTGAGAGGCTGAGGCAGGAGAATCACTTGAACCTGAGAGGCGGCGGTTGCAGTGAGCTGAGATCATGCTACTGTACCCCAGCCTGGTACAGAGCAAGACTCCATCTCAGAAAAAAAAAAAAAAAAAAACTGGAGAGTGAGAGAGAGAAAGAGACAGAGAGAGAAGAGGGGAGGGGGACTGAAATTTTAAAAAACTGGAAGGATAACTGATTGATATTAAGCAATAACGATTTACATTTTAAAGTATGATAATGTTATTGTGTCTATGGTTTTTTAAGAGTACTTATCTTTTAGTGATAGTGACCAAATTATTTGGATGAAATTACGTGATTCGATTCAAAATACTTCAGGAAAGGTAGAAGTGGGTTGGAGTACAAAAGAAACAAGACTGGCCATGAGCGATAATGGTGAAGTTTGCTGTTGAGTTTATAGGGTTCATCAGACTTTTCTATCTACTTTTCTGTGTGTTTGAATATTTCCATAATAAATAGTTTAAAAAGTTATCAATGATTAAAACACCAGTGAGTGTAGGGAAGAAGTGTATACAAACCTCTGTCCTGAACAAGCCCGTAGAGTGTAATATTCTGAAATTTAAGGTAAATTAAACTCAACCATATTCATTTTATTTTAGAATATGAGCTGCATTATTTAATAATGTAGTTAAATTATTCAGTGCTGAGACAGTCTAAAAATAAATGTAGAACTCATCAATTTTAAGTAATTCAAAATTAAAACAGTAATGAGTTGCCATTTTGTACTTTGTCGAACCAGAAAATCTAAAAGAAAATGATAAAACAATTCCAGCAAGACTGTAGAGTAAATAACCAAAGAATTGCTAATGTAAGTTTCAATCCTTTCTGATAACTTTTAGCTGATTATAAAGTAACATATATTGACTGTTGATATATGATAGTGTGTAGAAAAGTAAACAGCATTTTGAAAGATAATTAAGACTCACAGAATGCAGATTATGTTTCCTTCTAGATTTAAAATGCATATGAACATTTTGTTTTAAATAATTGTTTTGAAAAATTACCTGTACATAAATTACTGGCATCCTTCATTTCTTAACACATCACGAACACTTTTTGTTACTGCTAATACTCAATGCATTTTTATTTCTTCACCACCTAGTTAACATTCCACTGCTGTACATTTAACTAGCTGCCAGAGTTTTCCTATTCAAAATATGATTGCAGGCCAGGAGTGGTGGCTCATATCTGTAATCCTAGCACTTTGGGGGGCTGAGGCGGATGGATCACTTGAGGTCAGCAGTTCAAAACCAGCATGGCCAACACAGTGAAACCCCATCTCTACTAAAAATACAAGAAATTAGTGGAGCATGGTGTATACACCTGTAATCCAGCTACTAGCAAGGCTGAGGCAGGGGAATTGCTTGAACCTGGGAAGGGGAGGTTGCAATGAGCCAAGATCACACCACTACACTCCAGCCTGGGTGACAGAGCAAGACTCTGTCTCAAAAAAATATTTGTAGATATTTAGTTTCCAGTTTATGAACATTATAAAAATACAGGGATAAGATAATTACATGTGAATCAACATAATAATATTATTAAACCTTTATATTATACAACTATTTGCCAGGCACTATTCCAAGTGCTTTATACATTTTAAGCCCTTTTAACCCTCACAAAAGGGCATAAAGTAGGTATTATTGCCTCTGTTTCCCAGAAGGGAAACTGAGGCGCAGAGTGATTGATCACTGAGTTAGTAACAGGCAGGGCCAGGATTTGAACTGATAATTTTACCACCACATACTCTCTCAGTATATGACTATTATCCAGATGGCCATTAAAATTAGGACATAAATATTTATATGGAGCCCTGGTTCTTCATAAATATTCATATGGCACCCCCTGGGGACTTGTTAAAAATGCTAATCAACTGAATCAGAAACCCCACGGTGGGGCCCTGTGTCTGCATTGTAACACACCCTCCAGTGGTTCAGGCATGCTCAGGTCTAAGGAAGAGAATGTGGTAGGAAGAGCCCTCACCAAGGAAGCCTGAAAAGCTTCAGACTTTGCTGTACCGTAAGCAGATCACAAGGTCAGGAGATCAAGACCATCCTGGCCAACATGGTGAAACCCTGTCTCTACTAAAACACAAAAAATTAGCTGGGCATGGTTGTGGGCTCCTGCAGTCCCAGCTACTCGGGATGCTGAGGCAGGGGAATTAATTGCTTGAACCTGTGAGGCAGAGATTGCAGTGAGCCGAGATCACGCCACTGCACTATAGCCTGGTGAAGAGGAAGACTCCATCTCAAAAAAAAGAAACAAAAAAGACTACTTTGGGGGGCTTGTGTCTAAACCCAGGCAGATATGTTTTCTCATCTGTAAAAATGGGGACACAGGTCACCATGAGGGATGACGGGCAGTAGATTACCTGACTTTTACCATTCATTCAAGCTCTACATTTCTATGACTCTAAGGCCATACAAACATCATATAGGATAAAGCTAAAAATAATTGTTAAAATTGTGCAAAACTGATTCATATTAAGGGTAGGAGAGGAAATTGGAAAGAAGTATAAAAGAGGAGGGTATTGTAAAATTCCATTTGTGATGTTTTGAAGCTAGTGGGGTTTGTTTTGGTTTTGGGTTTGGTGGTTTTTTTTTTTTTTTTTTTTGAGACGGTGTCTCACTGTGTGTCCCAGGCTGGAGGGCAATGGCAGGATCGGCTCACTGCAGTCTCTGCCTCCCAGGTTCAAGCGATTCTCCTGCCTCAGCCTTGCAAGTAGCTGGAATGACAGGTTTCCATAACCACACGCAGCTAATTTTTGTATGTTTAGTAGAGACAGGGTTTTGCCATGTTGGTCAGGCTGGTCTTGAACTTCTGACCTTGTGACCCGCCCGTCTCAGCCTCCCAAAGTGCTGGGGTTACAGGCTTGAGCCACCACGCCTGGCCAAAGCTAATTTTATAATAAACACACTTTAAAAAATACTCTCGTCAAACAGCACACTCACCACATTCTGATTTATTTAGGTCTCTGAATTAAGACAACAGCTTCGAATTCGGGGCTTGCCTGTGTCAGGCACCAAAACGGCCCTCATGGACCGGCTTCGACCCTTCCAGGACTGTTCTGGCAACCCTGTGCCAAACTTTGGGGATATCACGACTGTCACTTTTCCTGTCACACCCAACACGCTGCCCAATTACCAGTCTTCCTCCACCAGTGCCTTATCCAATGGCTTCTACCACTTTGGCAGCACCAGCTCCAGCCCCCCGATCTCCCCAGCCTCCTCTGACCTATCGGTCGCCGGGTCCCTGCCAGACACCTTCAATGATGCCTCCCCCTCTTTTGGCCTGCACCCTTCCCCAGTCCACGCGTGCACTGAGGAAAGTCTCATGAGCAGCCTGAACGGGGGCTCTGTTCCTTCCGAGCTGGATGGGCTGGACTCAGAGAAGGACAAGATGCTGGTGGAGAAGCAGAAAGTAATCAATGAGCTCACCTGGAAACTCCAGCAAGAGCAGAGGCAGGTGGAGGAGCTGAGGATGCAGCTTCAGAAACAGAAAAGGAATAATTGTGCAGAGAAGAAGCCGTTGCCTTTCTTGGCTGCCTCCATCAAGCAGGAAGAGGCCATCTCCAGCTGTCCTTTTGCATCCCAAGTACCTGGGAAAAGACAAAGCAGCAGCTCAGAGTGTCACCCGCCAGCTTGTGAAGCTGTTCAACTCCAGTCCCTTGGAAATGCTCATTGTGTGGAGTCCTCAGGTCAAACCAACGTACTGTCTTCCACATTTCTCAGCCCGCAATGCTCCCCTCAGCATTCGCCGCTTGGGGCTGTGAAAAGCCCACAGCACATCAGTTTGCCCCCATCACCCAACAACCCTCACTTTCTTCCCTCATCTTCTGGGGCCCAGGGAGAAGGGCACAGGGTATCCTCGCCCATCAGCAGCCAGGTGTGCACTGCACAGGTAAGAGCACCTTGCACCATGCCTGGTGCATGCCTCTTTCTGGAAGTGGGTTACAAATTTTCAACTGCTAAAGAGCTAATGTCAGAAACTTTATTTTATATTTTATTGTATTATTATTATTATTATTTTGAGAAAGAGTCTTGCTCTGTCGTCCAGGCTGGAGTGCAGTGGCACCATCTCAGCTCACTGCAATTTCCAGCTCCTGGGTTCAAGTGATTCCCTTGCCTCAGCCTCCTGAGTAGCTGGGACTACAGGCACACACCACCATGTGCAGCTAGTTTTTTAGTAAAGACAGGGTTTCACCATGTTGGCCAGAATGGTCTCGATCTCCTGACCTTGTGATCCACCCTCCCTGGCCTCTCAAAGTGCTGGGATTACAGGCGTGAGCCTAATGTCAGAACTTTCAATGTGAAGTTTTTGCCAAAAGCCTAGTAGCATCTCCCAGATACTACAATCCTTTAGTCTTCATGGTAGACCTAACTCACTTATCCTCTAAGTCAGGGGCTGGCAAACTTGCTCTGTAAAGGACCAGATGATAAATATGTTTTTGCTTTTCAGGTCACACTGTCTGTCATACCTACTCAGTTTTGCCTTTGTTATCACAAACACAGTCATAGACATTGTGTAAACAAATGTACATGGCTATGTTCCAATAAAACTTTATTTAAAAAATAGGCAGTGAGCAAGACTTGGCTTGTGGGCTGCAGCTTGCTAACCACTGCTGTCAGGATTCCTTGGGGTCAAACCTTATCGTAGGTCAAACCAATGCCTCAAAGGTTTAAAGGGAAAGTTCATCAGACCTTACTGTCATGCAATAGTCTGCATAGTGAAAACATTTAGTGAGCACCTACTGTGTGCCAGGTCCTATTCTCATCTCTGGGAATTAGTGCTGAACTAGCCAAAGAAAAATGTCTATTCTCATGGGAACAGAGACTGTTTAAAAGTAAATTAAACTATTTCAAAGTAAATTACATACTATATTAGGTGATACATCTTATGGAGAAAAAGCAAAGGGGGTTTTGTGTGTGTGTGTGTGTGTGTGTGTGTGTGTGTGTGTGTAGTTTGGAAGTTTGCAACTCTAAATTGAAGGACCAGGGGATTTTAGCAAAACCTTGAAAGCAGTAAAAAAAGAAAAATTGTGGATATTTGAGGTGAAGGCATTGAAGGCAAAGGAGAAATAGCACATGCAAAGGCCCTGTGGTTGGAGCTTATAGAGACGGTTCAAGGACCAGTGGCTGGAGCAGACTAGGAACAGTCATAGGAGATGGCTTAGAAGACTCACTGATTCAAAGACTAGGCGAAGGTGATTGGCAAAGACTTTGCTTATGCTCGTGAGCTAAATAATTACTAGGAAAGTCTATGTAACGTAACCTTTCTCAAGTTGGGAAACTTTCTTTCAAGTTGAGAAAGGTTACATTATCAAAAGGCTCTGCAACCAGTATTATTAGAAAGAGAATAGGAAGAAAACTCACATTAATTAAATACGAATAGCTTCCAAGTGCCAAGCATTAAGAGGCATGTCTATGAGTAACCCCAGTTACTGTACAGGGAAGCTGTGAGCTCCAGTGTATTATTCTTTATTTGCCATTGAGGAAAATGAGGCTCAGAGAACTTAAATCAGTTACCCAGGATCGCAAGAACCCGAAATTTGTTAATTCTAAGTACACACCCTATTCTTGTGGAATATCTCCACCCCAAGAGTGTGAGGTGTGGCAAAAGGTAATGAGAATTAATTTTTACAAACCTATAGAAACAACGCATTCCAATGAACGATGCCTACCCCTGAGGGGCACTCTGGGAGAAATTAGGACTTAAATAAATTATTGTCATAATTAATAAACATTTATTGCATATATAGTATCCAGGGAAACAAAGATAAAAATAGCTCTTGAGACAAAGTTCTGGACCAAAACATTCAGTACTGATGATATTGCTGCTAACATTGTACAGTGATTTATGGCTCACAAAGACGCTTTGAAGACATTAACAATTTCATGATAAAATGATAAAGAACAGGCCGGGTGTGTTGGCTCACACCTGTAGTAATCTCAGCACTTTGGGAGGCTGAGGTGGGCAGATCACAAGGTCAGGAGTTCGAGACCAGCCTGGCCAACATAGTGAAACCCTGTCTCTTCTAAAAATAGAAAAATTCACCAGGCATGGTGGTATGCACCTGTAATCTCAGCTACTCTGGAGGCTGAGGCAGGAGAATAGCTTGAACCCCAGAGGCAGAGGTTGCAGTGAGCCAAGATCATGCCATTGCACTCCAGCCTGGGTGACAGAGCAAGACTCCATCTCAAAAAAAAAAAAAGGATAAAGAACAATATAGGTTAATGTAACTGATCTATGCGTACAACATTAAATACTAATGAGAGGGAGGGATAGATTGATTATAAAGGGCTAGAAAGGTCGAGAAAGGTTTTGTGAAGGGGTTGGACTTGGCAGGAAGTATCATGTTTCAAAGTAGAGGGCCAGGAAAGGGACAAGGTGGGAGATGGAATGTACAGGGCATGCTGATGGAGGTCCATAGTGGGAATCGTAGAACTTAAGCTTACAGAAGTAAATAGCACCAAACTGTAGAGTCTTGAACACCCATCCAGGTTGAAAGTGAAAACCCTATGCCGTGGATATCTGAAGCCATTGGAAGTTTTTGAGCAGTAGGTGATGTCTAAAAAGCCAGATTTTAGGCAAGTTCATCTGGTAATGGAATTTAGGAAGGTTTGTAAAGATGACACCAGGGGACACAGGGCAGGAACCAGAATTGTCAGCCAAGGTCACACTCAAGCAAGCTGGTGCTGGCCATGTAATTTGTCACTTCTTCTTTTACAGAACTCAGGAGCACACGATGGCCATCCTCCAGGCTTTTCTCCCCATTCTTCCAGCCTCCACCCACCCTTCTCTGGAGCCCAAGCAGACAGCAGTCATGGTGCTGGAAGCAACACTTGTCCCAAAAGCCCATGTGTACAGCCAAAGGTAAGCACCTTGAAAAAGGATTCAACCTGGGATTCACTTGGCCTCTTCTGTCTTCTGTAATCCCTGTCCTCCAAAGGGAATGATAATGAAGTTCCCTTTTTCTTTTTTTTTTTTTGAGACAGAGTCTTACTGTGTCACTCAGGCTGGAGTACAGTGGTGTGATCTTGGCTCACTGAAACCTCCATCTCCCGAATTCAAGCAATTATCTGCCCCAGCCTCCCAATTAGCTGGGGTTACAGACACCACCACGCCCTGCTACTTTTTTTTTTATTTTTAGTAAAAACCGGGTTTTATCATCTTGGCAAGGCTGGTCTTGAACTCCTGACCTTGTGATCCACCCACCTCAGCCTCCCAAAGTGCTGGGATAACAGGCGTGAGCCACTGTGCCTGGCCATGAAATTCCCCTTAAAGGCAGAAGGAAATTTCATTTTAGAGAGAAACAAATCCACTCAAAATGCATGTAAAAGGATGTACAAATATGAATTAGGAGGTATTCCAGGAAGTCACTTCCTGGGGTCATCCCAGAAATCATGATGACTAAAATGGCCATAATATGTTTGCAAAACAATGTGAACAAGAAACCAGTTTCTGTGAAGTTGAAAATTAGAATCAGGGTGTGTGGGAAAACAATGTCGGAAGAGAAGAGAGGGACACAGATCCAGGGACAGGATTGGAGAGGTGTAGAAAGCAGTGGCCACAGTGCAATATCTTTCTGGGAAAGGAAGAGATGTCACCCAATCAGCAGGTGGAAGAAGTTAGGGATATGAAGCATCCAGGCTATGGAGAGTTTCAAGGGGCAAAGAAGAGGTGGCAGAAAGAAGACAAACAAGATAAGCATGACATAAAAGTGCCACATATGACAAGTCAGGGAAGGGGCAGAGACCCTGAAGTGGGCCAGGCACTCCACAGGAGAACACACTCACAATAAAGAAAGCCGGTTCATAAAGAAACCTCAGCAACTCAGCAATGGCTCCGACTGGCTGCAAAATACCCCAGTTTGGAATAAATGACGTGAGGGATAGATGACTCTAGAAATTCCTAGGTTGATGATTTTTTTTCTTTTTCTTTTTTGCAACACAGTCTCGCTGTCACCCAGGCTGAAGTGCAGTGGCATGATCTCAGCTCACTGCAACCTCCACCTCCCAGGTGCAAGTGATTCTCCCACCTCAGCCTCCAGAATAGCTGGGATTACAGGCACACACCACCACACCTGGTTAATTTTTGTATTTTTAATAGAGATGGGGTTTCACCATGTTGGCCAGGCTGGTCTCGAAGTCCTGACCTCTGGTGATCTGCCCACCTTGGCCTTCCAAAGTGCTAGGATTACAGGCATGAACCACCTTGCCTGGCCTGATTTTTTTTTTTGTATTGAATTTGACTCTTACTTATTTTTCCCTAAAAGAAGAGGGTGCATTTTAAGGGGGAAAATAGATCTGCAAGGTTCCCATTCTGAGATGCCACCAGCAATAAACCCACAGTAGAATTCACTATTGTTATAGGAGTTATTTTCTAAGCCCGGGACCATTTTTGTTCTCTTAGATTAATTTTTCCAAAATTTAACCTGTTGTTTCTAGAACAGTAGCAATATCATTTCAGATCCGTGAATTCAATGCCTTTCTCTGTATTTTACCCATGCAGATGGCTGGTTTACACTCTTCTGATAAATTTTCAATTCCATCCCCGACTTTTTCTAAGTCAAGTTCAGCAATTTCAGAGGTAACACAGCCTCCATCCTATGAGGATGCCGTAAAGCAGGTAACCATGTGATTTGTTCTTTATGGAAGAATAGACTGACTCAATGAACAGACATTGTTTTAGATGATTAAATTTCATGCAGTTTGTAAATTCTGATATTGAGTGTGTTGTGTGCCTTGCCACCAAAATAAGCGAATTACCTTGACAATAATTGGAAAACAGTGTTGCATGTATAGCTGTGTGAGGCAGGAAGAGAAAAGGGTCACCTTCCTGGCTTTGGTACCAGCCCTGCTATCTGCCAGCTGCCACACTGTCAATGAGGTGAATGCTTCACCTCTCTTACACAAAATAGGGATAATATTTACTTGATAAGGATTCTAGCACACACTACATTGTTCAGGCACATAAAAGGTTCTCAAATGTATGAGAGCAATTATCAGGGTAATACTTCCTGATGTTCTCCCTGGCTTTAAAATTCAGTGACCCTGGCAAAACATTGACTGGGTGTTGATTGAGACTGGGTAATAAATGCAAGGAGGTTCATTGTATCCTCTACTTTCATTCGTATTTGGAAAGTCTCAAAATTAAAAAGTAAGAAAAAGCAAAAACAAGGCCGGGTGTGGTGGCTCACACCTGTAATCCCAGCACTTTGGGAGCCCGAGGCAGCTGGATCACCTGAGGTCAGGAGTTTGAGACCAGCCTGGCCAACCTGGTGAGACCCCGTCTCTACTAAAAATACAAAAATTAGGTGGATGTGGCAGTGCGTGCCTGTAATCCCAACTACTTGGGAGGCTGAAGCAGGAGAATTGCTTAAACCTAGGAGGCAGAGGTTGCAGTGAGCCACTGTACTCCAACCTGGGTGACAAGAGCAAAACTCTGTCTTGAAGGAAAAAAAAAGAAATAAAAAGAAAAAACAATTAACGATCCTGTATTTCAAACAGTCTGAGCTTGGATAAGGTATTTGATAGCCCTTTATATGTCCTCAACCCAGAACAGAATATCTATATCAGTTGCTGCATACAGGTACCCCACAGATCAAAGTCAGCCTGAAGTTACGTTCTGTTTGACTTTTGAAGAACGTTTTAAATAACAGGAGATGGTATGCAAAGTGGACTTTCTCATTTCTAAAAAATTAGAGGATCTGGCAACCCAGGAGCCACAGTGCTGCAAGTCGACAATCGCCTAAAGCAAGGTTCTGCTGTTACTTTGAGCCACAGCTATGCTCTGCTCTCTGCCTCTTTTTCTTATTCTATATTCAGTTTATTCCATTACCTGCCAGTCCCTTAGGTATCTGGTACCTTCTGAAGTGATAAATGACTCATTTTTTGACATTGATTATTGATGCCTGTGTTCATTGAATCTGGGTTGTCAGAGGAGTGAGATGGATACATGCCTTTGTTCTCCCCATTCCTCTCCCCTGGTTTCTGTAAACATCAGCTGATCCCTCACAGTTTCAAAGGAAAAGAAAACGGCCAGGCAAAGAGGGCATCCAGAAATAAGACTCTACTGAGATGAGCCAGAGAGGACAGGGCATATCCTACAAGTGTCTACAGGTTCCTCAAGCTATTGCAGTGAGGAACCAACAAAATACGAGCCAAGGTCTTGGGCCACTTTGCAGCAATCAAGCAAGAGGTAGATTTAGGTCACTTCAAAGTAAGAGCCTAAAAAGGTATTTTCTTTTCTTTTTCTTTGAGACAGAGTCTCACTCTGTTGCCCAGGCTGGAGTGCAGTGGGGTGGTCTTAGCTCACTGCAACCTCCACCTCCTGGGTTCAAGTGATTCTCCTGTCTCAGCACCCCTAGTAGCCAGGCTTACTGGCACACACCACCACATCTGGCTAATTTTTGTATTTTTAGTAGAGACAGGGTTTCACCATGTTAGCCAGGCTGGGCTTGAACTCCTGACCTCATGATCCACTTGCCTCAGCCTCCCAAAGTGCTGGGATTACAGGTGTGAGCCACCACACCCAGACGAAAAGGTATTTTCTATATATTAAGATGTCCTGCTCCTGGGATGAAAACTGTTATGTGTAAATATTCAGTGCTGCAAAAGAAGTAGCACTGGAATATGAATTTCCTCAGCAAGGCAATTTACTACTATAGAAGGGTGCGGCTCACTGATGGAACAATGGCGAAGGCACACCTGGATAAGGGAGGGGAAAGGGTACTTATTCCTGACGGAGGTCGCCCCTAGTGCTGTGTCGTTCCCCTATTGGCTAGGGTTAGACCACGCAGTCTAAGCTAATTCCAACTGGCTATTTTAAAGAGAGCAGGGGTATGAGCTGGAGTGGTGGGGTGGGTGGTTTGACGAGAACGACAGTTGCAGGCAGGTCAGAGCAGGTAACCAGGGGTCAAAGCAGGTGACTGGAGCAGGTAACCCGGATAAGTCAGGATTGAACAGGGGAACAGATGTGAACTACTGATTAGAACTGGTGGGAAAGGTTTTTACTGAAACTACAAGGAAGTTAAACTTTGAAATGGAGAATTAAAGAATAAGAGCTGAGCATACTGACAAACCGATTCTTTGAAGAGAAACTTGGAGTTCACTGTATCTAACAAAACCTCTCAAACAACTGAACTAACTCTAAAGTACTCTGTGCTGGGAAGCATTCTGCCTTCTTTCTCCCTTCTCCTGTTGTAGTAGATTGTTTCATTCCATAGTTTATATGCCTAAAATGAATACTGAAGCTTAATCAAACAGAGTTAAAAAAAAAACCTTTAGGCAACAGACCCGTGTTCATAGCAGTGTTATTCACTGTACCCCGAAGGTGCAAACAGCCTAGATGCCCATTAACAGATGAATGGATAAACAACATGTGTTATATCTATACAATGGAATTGTATTCAGTCTTTAAAAAAAAGAAATTCTGACACATAGCACAACGCGGATAAACCTTGAGGACATTATGCTTAGTGAAATAAGCTAGTCACAAAAGAACAAATACTGTCTGATTCACTTATATGAGGGACCTAGATAGAATAGTCAAATTTGTAAAGACAGGAAGAAAAATGGTGGCTTCCAGGGCTAAAGGATGGGGCATGGGAAATTAGGATTTAATGCACACACAGTTTTAGTCTTGCAGGATGAAAAGAATTCTGAAGATAGATGGTGGGGATGGTCACACAACAAAGTGAACGGACTTCATGCCTCTTAACTGTACACCTAAAAGTGGTTGATAGTAAATTTAAAGTTATGAGTTTTTACCCCAATTAGAAAAAAAAAAAAAAAACTTAACCAAACCTAGTTCACCAACCTGCAGTGCTGCTTCTAATGATTCCCTGCAGAGATAAACACCTTCTAACCTGTCTGTCCTCCTTTGGTTAATCTGCAATAGCAAATGACGCGGAGTCAGCAGATGGATGAACTCCTGGATGTCCTTATTGAAAGCGGAGGTAAGACTGCCCGTGGCCTGTCCATTAGGACATTCTGAGCCTGTGTGGATTCTAAGGCATGAACTCTTGTAGCAAGATCAGATGTACACTGAGTTGGCTGTACCAGGTAGTCCTCAGGGAAAGTCATTTTTTTTTTTTTTGGAGATTCCTAAGCATTATTAGAGCTGAAACAAAAGGAGGCATAGTGGATGATTCCTCACTGCCTTTGTCCTAGGAGCATTTTTCAGCAATCATTTTAATAGTTTTCATGTTTCAGCCTAAGCCTTGTTTCCTTAAATGTTTTCTCTTGCAGCACTATTTTTTTCTATGTTCTAATCCCAATGTCTCTGCCTTCTCAATTATAAGAAAAGAAAAAAGCAGATGATGAAAGTTTTGTGCTACCTACTCAAAGCGCAATTCAATTAGTAACCTTCCACTGGGTGGTTCATTCATGCTTAAATGTTATTCATGCTAGCAATAAAACATAATCAACATGTTCTTTGTGTCGCCTTTTAATTTTTTTCGTTTATTTACTTAAAAAAAAATTACGGAGTGTGTGCCTAGGATTTGAAACCACACACATGAATAAGATGACCCAAGGAGGATGTGTAGATGAAAAGAACTCAGGGCAGAATCCTTAAGCAAAAATATTTAAAGTTTCAGAGAAGGAGGTAGCAAAGGACTTGGAGAAGACGTAGCCAGGCATCACGCTAGTCTCTGGGATACATCAGACAAAGTCCTGAATTTTATGGAGTTTACGGTCTGGTAAGGGAGACAGACAAGAAGCAAGTGAATGGAACTTCCTCCACTGTAACAGGAGGGAAGAAGAAAGAGGGGGGTACAGACTATGTATGTATATGAGTTCTGTGACGGAAAGATGAGAGAGTTCATATCAGATGCCCTCATGTATTTCTAATAAAATATGCGGCAAGGTCGGCAACGTGTGAGGATGCAGAAGGGGTGTGTGGAAGATTCAGGGGAAGAAGAGCAGTTATGACTTCATCATGAATGAAATGAGTTTTCTGGAGAAACACAGCAGGGTGGTTTTGTAGTCTTAAATGCCAATTGTAGGTCTGACATCAGGAATCTAAAGGTGAAACCCAGTCAGCTTAGTTCAATTTTTCTCTTGCAATGTTCTTCTGATCCAGAGCACGCTCAGAGAAGGCAAATGATCAGGTTCATCCAGGTGTGGGGTTCTGCCAAAAATATAGGCTGGACAAGGAAAGAGATGAAGACTAGAGGGGCTGGTGAACAGTGCTAACGTATTGGAGTCTATGGATTGGTGTGACTGTGAATGGTTGGGAAATTATTGTTATGGGGTGCTTGATAAGTGGCCTGGAGGGATGAGAGAGGTTATAGCTTGAAAAGAGAGAGTAGAAAATATAGCTTGAAAGTGAGCTTTCAGCAGGATGCAGTATTTGGAGATGACACGATCCAAGGTGTGTCTGATGGGGTGGGAATGGGGAATCACTGGAGTTGAGGAGGAAGTCAAGAGCTGAGAGGCCAGCATAAACACTGTGATTTCCAAGGATGCTCAGGTTACAGAATGAGGAGGGTTGAAGCGGGGAAAAGGCAGTGGACTAGGAAGTAGAGTTTTCAGTGGATGAGGAGGAATGACCGGGAGGCTAGGGGTGAGGTGTTGGTATCACCCTCAAACCCCAGAACTGCTGAGTTGTCATCAGAAGGAGGGGGAGTAGCAATCAGAAAATGGCAATTGCATAGCACCTGATCCCTCATCTTCAGGCCCTCACTGAGTGTGTCAGAATGGACTCAGTGTTCTCAAGGGACTACCAGGGGTTAGAGGAGTAAGTACAGGAACCTTCAGAGAAGAAGTTAATAGTCACAGAGTGGAACTCCGGGAGGAAAGGGTCTGGGGAAAGACCGGAGGGAAGATGAATTGGAGGATGATACAGTAGCTTAGAGATGAGACTGGGTGGTGAGGGGGATCAGGGAAGTATGGTGTCTTCTGTATCTAAGTGTAACTCACTCACATTGCATGGCATGCTCGATTTGAAGTGATTTTAACAAGCCGCATCCTGTTTTACCCACAGAAATGCCAGCAGATGCTAGAGAGGATCATTCATGTCTTCAAAAAGTCCCAAAGATACCCAGATCTTCCCGAAGCCCAAGTGCTGTCCTTCCCAAGCCCTCGGCTTCCTTTGAACAAACCTCTTCAGGCAGCCAGATCCCCTATGATCCCTATGCCACCGACAGTGATGAGCATCTTGAAGTCTTATTAAATTCCCAGAGTCCCCTAGGAAAGGTGAGTGATGTTACCCTTCTAAAAATTGGTAGTGAAGAGCCTCGTTTTGACGGGATAATGGATGGATTCTCCGGGAAGGCTGCGGAAGATCTCTTCAATGCGCATGAGATCTTGCCAGGACCCCTCTCCCCTATGCAGACACAGTTTTCGCCCTCTTCTGTGGACAGCAATGGGCTGCAGTTAAGCTTCACTGAATCTCCATGGGAAACCATGGAGTGGCTGGACCTCACTCCACCAAGCTCCACACCTGGCTTTGGCTCCCTTGCCACCAGCAGCCCCAGCATCTTTAATATCGATTTCCTGGATGTCACTGATCTCAATCTGAATTCTTCCATGGACCTTCACTTGCAGCAGTGGTAGAATGCCCAATGCACCGGTGCTATGGAAGACCAATAGGAATTCCATGGGGGAAAGCACACAAGCATACATACGTTAGGTCCAAAAATAAAAGAAGAAGAAGAGGGGAATTAAAAAGAAGCAATAGAGACTTCTGTGGCAATCAACAAGAACAAATAGAAGTCATTTTTAAAAATACATATTCTGTAATAGTTACCAACATTCAGTAACTGTGAATGATTTCAACAATGCATTAAAAAATGTGCTTTCTCCGATTAAGGATGCCAAAAATATATTTCATTGCCTTTTCAAAGACCAGTATATTTTCTAGCCCATAATTTTTCTCAGGCTTTCTTGGGGCATAAGCTCACGCTGTAAGCTTTTCTCATGAATTCATTAGACCTGATGTGGAAGGAAAATGAATTCTTTTAGGAGTACAGGGAAGCCAGACCCTCAAAGGTTATGGAAGGCATACCTGTAACGGAAGTTGCTGCCCAGTGTCTCCATTGCCTATCTTTCAAAAGAGAAGCCACACTCAGCTTCAGTTCAAAAGTTCTTGAGACAGAGGGACAAAACCAATCTATTTCCAGAGAAGCTAAATCAACTCAATGTCCCTCTGCCACAAAACTGCCCCACTGGAGTGGTTCTGAACTTATACCCAGGACTCTGTATGGTCACTGATAACAGTTAGCCTGAACTGAGTCCACAGAACTCCATCCAGAACTTTCTTCTCTTTCAACTAGTGGCCCAATTATTCCCACCATCCCTGTGCTGATAAGTATGTGTCCTAGTGAGAACCCTGAAGAATGCAGACCTTCTTCCCCTGAAGGAGATGCCGCAAGCTCCCCAACACAGCCCCCTTTAGTTCCAAAGACTGGAGATGACCGAATGGGCAGAAATATATCTCTAGGGACAGGAAAAAAAGCTGTACCAGAGAAAATTCAGACAGTCCTGTAGAATAACATCATTTCACATACCCTGGGATAAACACCCTGGGTTCCTATAACAGGGCTATTACTTATGGAAGTCCACTTCTCCTTTTGCTTTCTTCTTATCAGTTTATCTTTTTCCCACTCCACTTTTCCTTCAAGGTGCCAATCCTTTCCTGTTCCTCATTTGACATCTTTCTTTTTCTGCCCCAACATTGGGAGGGAAGGACCTCTCAGTTCTCACAAGCTGCCATAATCCGAAGAAAGCCGTTTTTGAAAAAATTAACAATCCAGGTTCTCCTGAAGACCTCATTCGCCAAATGCACAGTTTGCTGCAAAAGGAAGTTACAAGAATTTCTTTAGGAAGAAACTGGTGACTTGGTCCATCACTCACAAAGTTCTTTCTAGTCTCATTTAATTTTCAAGAAATTATTGGTTTGTGTTGCCCTGGGGAAATTGGAAATTATTATATTGTAAAGATAAATATGGACGACATTTACAGGAGAGAATTTCAGATCTGGGTTTTTGAAAGAAAACAGAATTGCACATTGAACACGATAGAAGGAAACAGACAGCAGTCCAATGTGCATTCCTCATTACCTCTCGTGGCTTTGGCTGGGAGTTGGAAAAAACTAAAATTTCAGGACAGTCTCTGTAAGGCTCACTGTGGCTCCAATTCACCATTTTACATTGTTGCATGCTGTAGAAAGGAGCTATTGCTGTTGTTTTTTTTTTTTTATTTAAATCACTAAGGCACTGTTTTTATCTTTTGTAAAAAAAAATGTTCACTGTGCACTTATAGAAAAAATAATCAAAAATGTTGTGATTTTAGAAGCTTTCGTTTTGATAAACCAAAAATTTAGAAGTCATTCCATTGTTAACTTGTAAAAATGTGTGAACACTGAGTGTTTTTGGTGATTGCTACTCTGAAAGCTGCCAGATCTTATTCTGGGTGCGGGGGGGGGGGGGATATACACATACACACACAAACACACACGTGTGTATAATAGATATATACATATGTGTATATTATATCGGTGTGTGCATGTATCTTCCAAAGCAGTGTTACAGAGTTCTACACCAAAAGCCTTTAGCCCTTAATCTGCTGTGAATGATACCTGGCCTTTCTCACTACGAATTCCTGATTAATCAGCCAGACTACACATTGCCTGTCTGTGTATGACTAAGGACTCCAAACCGATGACTCACAGTTATTTGCTTATCGTGAACAAGCTCATCTTGGCGATGAATATGGACATGAAAAGACAGAACGGCTTCACCATTAGTAGCTGGAAATGGTATCACAGTCTCTTATAAAGGAGTATGAAAGGAACATGAAAATCATTTTACATTCCTTCATCTGCATTGTGCTTTAAAAGATCCACATGGTAAATTTTTTATTTTGCTTTTATGTCAGTCAACAGAACAAAAAATCCAGAAGAAAAAACTGCCAGTGTTTCCTTTGAAGATGAAGTTATGGGGAAGAAAACCTTATTAACACATTCCACACATTTGTTCATTCCTCAAATGTTGATGTTTCCTTGGGGTCTTGACAAAGCTTGCTGGTCAGTATACTTTTCAGGTGTCACGTTTTGCTGTTTATATGTTATTTTTCTTGCCCTTCCTTTGGAAAACAAACTCACACTGTGCCCCTACTCTGAGACCTGCGACTGAGTGTTAATTATTTTTTTCCTTGGTTATGTCTATCTGAGAGATGAGACCTAGTTAGGAGGCCTCTGTACTTCTCCAGATCATGACATTTTATGGGGGTCTTTTAGGCTATGACCCAGGACAGATAGATATGCCTTACAGTAGACAAAAGATAAAATGGTTCTCATATCCTAATGCAAACCAACACAACTGAAAGAGCAGATCACATTTTTTAGTAGAGACGGGGTTTCATTGTGTTGGTCAGGCTGGTCTTGAACTCCTGACCTTGTGATCCACCCACCTCAGCCTCTCAAAGTGCTGGGATTACAGGCATGGTGGGCTGCGCCTGTAACCCCAGCTATTCAGAAGGCTGGGGCAGTAAAATCGCTTGAACCCAGGAGGCGGAGGTTGCAGTGAGCCGAGATCGTGCCACTGCACTCCAGCCTGGGCGACAGAGCGAGACTCCATCTCAAAAATGAAAAAAGAGCAGATCGCTTGATAACTGCTCTCAACCTCCTTCTACAGTCTCCACAAACCACATTCACCCTCTGTCTTCATAGCTCAGACATGAAATTTGAGGGAGAAAACTGGAGATAATTGGGGGAAATTGGTGAAGTTGGCTGCCTCCAGTAGATCAGATAATCCATGAGTTTATCTCCCATTGAATTCTGTTTTAAATTGTTTTAAACTCTTAGTTGTGTCTTTTGTGATGACAAATCAGGCATGACTAAAAGATGTACAGAGACTTACAAAGATGGTCACGTTCAAGTTCCCTAATGCTCTTAGAACCTGAAGCTGACCACATGTCATTTTCTTAAGACCTCTGAACCCCCGTGGTGATAAAGACTTGAAGACATTTGCAGCTATCCCCAGTGCTGCTGCAATCTGGTAGATTCATCCTTATCTAAAAGAGTCAGCAAACGTATTCGTGCAAGCACTTGGAGTAAGCTCGTGCTTAATAGTAGTGGCCCTGCTTCCAACAATGTTGTTGAGACAACACAAATTCCATTGTAAGGAAGAAAGAGAGGGAGGGAGGGAGGAAGGAGGTGGAAGGAGAGAGGAAGGGAAGACAGGAGATGGGAGGGGAGAAGGAGAGAAGAAGGGAGAAGGGAAGGAAGGAAAGAAGAGAGAAAAGAAAGGAGGGAAGAAAGAAAGGGCCAAACTTTCTGATCTATGTATGAACTTCTCAATTCAGCTAAGATGTCACATTATGAGAAGTAAATCAGATTTTTTTTAAGGAGAAGTCATTCTTAGCATTACAATAACTGTACTAGTAACTGAGGAAGCCAAGACAGCCTTCACTTGAATAATCAAGGGTCTGAGAACTGTCAGCCTTTTGCCGTTTAAAAACGTTCACTTCCAACCTGAAAAAAGAATCAATAAAACCTATCCCAAGCATTCAAGATAGTCCTTTCCAAATATTATTTATTTTAAAGTCAATCAGCTCTTCTAGAAACAGATTCTGGTCTGGCTAAAAACTCCCACATAAAATGTACTCATCCAGTGGCTAATATTTGATGCCCACCATGGGCAGAGCACACAAATCTTCAGATATCCAATACTGAATTGATTCAGCACGGATTGTTCAGATCTGAATGACCCAGGGAGTTGTATTTCCTACAGGCAAGAACACTGAGAATCTCCCTGTCCTCAAACTAGAAACCTTTTAGCTATGATAAAAAGGGGTTTTCCTTTTTCCAAAAGGGAGGGCGGAGTTGAGGATCACTTTTTAGCTAAAAGCTATCTCTCACTCCAAATTTCTCGTCTTTTTCTTTGTGGACAAACAAAAGTAGTCTATCCCTTGAAGATTTTTTTAATACCTCCCATCATTTAAAACATCCATGAGAGTTTGAAGATTTGTTTTGATTGCCAGATACAGAAAGCCCCTTGAAAATAAGGAAAGGGTGGAGGAAGCATTTTTGTGCCCTATCCCTATTTCTCATAGCAGCTTTATAGACAAAAGGAATACTTACTGGTGAGCATCTGGCCCTTAAAAGAAAAGCGTTGGCTGGGCGCGGTGGCTCACACCTATCCCAGCACTTTGGGAGGCCGAGGCGGGTAGATCACAAGGTCAAGAGATCGAGACCATCCTGGTCAACAAGGTGAAACACCGTCTCTACTAAAAATACAAAAATTAGCTGGGCATGGTGGCGCGCGCCTGTAGTCCCAGCTACTCGGGAGGCTGAGGGAGGAGAATTGCTTGAACCCAGGAGGCAGAGGTTGCGGTGAGCCGAGATCATGCCATTGCACTCCAGTCTGGGTAACAAGAGCGAAACTTTGACTCAAAAAAAAAATGCGTTTAAGAATATGGAGGCAATTTGATTTCCCCCTTCAAGCCTCAGCTGCCTTCCTCACAGAAGGAGGTTCCCAATTGCTGGTACACAGTTTGCTATCCGATATCAGACAAGAGAAAACTTGCAGTGAAAACAGTCTGGGTTCTTGGTTTTCTCATAAATCTAATATAAACTGGGAGGTTGGTTCAGGGTCGAAATTGCCAATGCCTTATTAGACAGACGATACTGAAAGACATACAGACCCAGGTTCCAGAACAAGACAATCCTATAGTGCCAAGATCTGGTCAGTTGTGTTAAGGAGCTGGGTTTGATTCTAGAGTCTAGGTTTATAGGGAAACCCTGGCTAGATGGAGACTACCCATGGGGAGATGATTTCAAGACAGGATGAGATCTGGGAAGAATGTCATTATCATCTGCCAGGGAAATTGTCACTGGACTCACTGAATGCAATAACATGTGAGTAAGTTCCCTTTTGATTCTGGGAATCAGCGATTTTCCCTGTGGGTTAAGACCAACCAACCCCTGAAGTTCTCCTGTGCTTACTGTAACCAACTGTTCCCATCATGAACATTGGAGCATGCATTTCCTAGAAGTGTTTTCCTAGCTCCTGCGTGTTAATGGAAAAAGGGAGTATAATGATGGGGATCCTGGAAGCTATTTTAATGTTTTCCAAAGGAAAGGAACCCACGCTGCTCCCCAGAGTTCCTTTCCAATGGCCCTGCAGTGGGAACGGAGGACAACAGATGGCTGGGTGCTTACAATCCTCCCTCAGTGAGGCACAAAGAGACACTCTGTAAAGAAAAAAGAGCAAGCATAGGTTCTCTGCGGACCCTATGGAGTGGTGTTTTCACGTCCGTCTCCTTGGCTCAATTATGCATAATCAGAAAGAAATGTGGGTTACTGGGAACAGACAAAAAACAGTGGCTAAAATACCAAAGTTGGCATGTGTTCTTTTTTTTTTTTTTAAAAAGCATATATTTTTAAATAAAATGTTTATTTTAAAAAGAAATGTAAAGCTTTTTTTTTTCTTGGCTGTGTGATGTACCCAAGCCTTGTGCTATGTGCTATTTATATGTGTTATTTCCTTTTATTCCCACAATGGCCCAGTGAAGTGGTAGCATTATGATCCTCATTTTTGCAAATAAAGAAACCAGGCTCAGAGGCTACCTAAATGGCCCAAAGTTACATGACTGAGAAATGGCAGAGCCAAGAGTCAGGCTGTGATTTGCTCACCTCCAAAGCCCCAATCTTAAGCACTGCACACACTGTCTGAACTGTTACTTACTATGGATCATACTAATAAAATCAGAACTTTTGCAGAACGATTCTCAAGTTATGTATGTGCCCGTTAAAATACACACACATATGCAACTGAGCCGATTCAATGTTTTCATCAGTTTAGTAACTGAGCAAATTGAATAATAATGTAGGATAAATTGGATATCAAAAGGCCCATATGTATAGACTCCTTGAATAAGACCTAGTGTTTTTTGTTTTCTTTGAGACGGAGTCTTGCTCTGTTGCCAGGCTGGAGGGCAGTGGTACAATCTCAGCTCACTGCAACCTCCGCCTCCTGGGTTCAAGCGATTCTTCCCCCTCAGTCTCCCGAGTAGCTGGGACCACAGGCGAGTGTCACCATGCCCAGCTAATTTTTGTATTTTTAGTAGAGACGGGGTTTTACCATGTTGGCCAGGTTGGTCTCAATCTCTTGACCTTCTGATCTGCCTGCCTCAGCCTCCCAAAGTGCTGGGATTATAGGTGTGAGCCACTGCGCTTGGCAAGACCTAGTTTTTAATCTACTTTTTCCTCTTCAATTTATTCCTGCCTATTATTTTGTCATTGGTGAATATATAAACCACATAGGGGAAATACCAGATGGTGAAAAGAGCCCTGGAATGGACAAACATCCCAAGCCCTTGTTTAGCCAAGAACTGATCTCCCTTTCACAGCTCTCTCTGCCCCTGCATCAGCCTTACTTTCTGGCAAGCTCTCCCATGTAGAACCAACAAGGTCATGGGTTGCCAGCAGTCCCACATGTGGCAATTCCAGCAACATGAGACTTTGTCAGTCCTAAGAGTCCTGGCAGAAATCTCAGAGCTTTCTCTCAGTGGTCCCAGCAGGTCATGGTCATCCGTGAACCCATCTCTATGGCCATGAGAAGTGGGTATAATTTTTCCCAATGTTACCAATAAGATATTGGCAAAGGAGAATGAGAGAGAGTGATTAGAAAACCAGGAGACGATGGTATTCCTATCAACAAGGCTGGAGAAAACTTCAGGAAAGAGGGGGGTCTTTAATTCCTTCTAATGCTACTATGTTCCATTAAGATAAGGAATGAAAAGTATTCATTTGATTTAATAAGAAGGTGGTTTGTAATCAAGGTGAGAGCAATTTGGGTGCAGTGATGAGGCCAGGTGGTTGCAGACTGAGGAATTAAAAGGGGTATAAATACATTCACAGGGTCTGGATTCCCTGCTCAGAACTGAACTATGGAATGGGGTCATTTGAATCTCATGAACTGACAGTAGGGAAGGTGAGCTTTTTTAAAGGAAAGTTGGGGTGCTAGTACCAAAAAGGGGGCTAGGTGCTGAAAAGGCAGAAATAGTAGATTTCTATGATGTAATTCCTGCTTTCAAGAAGTTTGCCATCTAGTGATGAGACAAGAAAATAGGGAATAATGCGTAGTCTGATAATTGCATGCTATGTGCTACCAGCAGGGCGTTTAATAAAGTCTTGGCGGTGGAGGTGAAGGAAAGATGGATGGTCAGGAAGAACTCTCCAGAGGAGGAAGCCACTAAGTCAAGACATTAATGACACAGGAGTTAGGCAGGCAAACTCTTAAGGAAAGCAGCACTCCAGGCTGAGGAAATAGCCTGTGCAAAGTCCTGAAGACAAAAGGGAATTGACCATGTCCAGGGGATGTAGAGAGTAGAACAAGGAGGCAGGGATGCTGCTGGTACAAGCATAGGAAAGAAAAGAGGGCCAGGGCTGTCAGAAGAAAGAATCACAAACAGGGTGGCTTAAGCAACAGAAATGTGCTGCCTCACAATTCTGGAGGCCAGATACTTGGAATCCAGGTGTCAATGGGGTTGATTCCCTCTGAAGCTGCGAGGGAAGGAGCTGCTCCTGTTCTCTTTTCTTGGCTTACAGATGTCCACGTTCATGTCCACATGGCATTCTCCCTGTATCTCCGCATCATTTTCCCTCTGTATACGTCTGTCTCTGCGTCCGCACTTCTCTCTCTCTCTTTTTTTTTTTTTTGAGACGGAGTTTCACTCTTGTTGCCCAGGCTGGAGTGCAATGGCACGATCTCGGCTCACCACAACCTCCGCCTCCTAGGTTCAAGCAATTCTCCTGCCTCAGCCTCCCGAATAGCTGGGACTACAGGGGCACACCACCATGCCCAGCTAATTTTTTTGTATTTTTAGTACAGACGGGGTCTCACCATGTTGACCAGGATGGTCTCGATCTCTTGACCTCGTGATCCACCTGCCTCGGCCTCCCAAAGTGCTGGGATTACAGGTGTGAGCCACCACGCCTGGCCCACAGTTCTCATTTTTATAAGGGTTCCAGCTGTCTAGGATTAGAGCTCATCCTAATGACCTCGTTTTAATGTGATTACCTCTATAAAGGCCCTAGCTCCAAGTAAGGTCACATTGTGAGCAGCATCCCTGCCTCCTTGTTCTACTCTCTACATCCCCTGGACATGGTCAATTCCCTTTTGTCTTCAGGGTGCTGAGGGTTAGGATGTCAACATAGGAATTTTGAGAGAACACAATTCAACCCCTAACAGGAGGCAAGCTTGGGGTCAGACCACAAAGGGCCTCATATGACAGGTTGAGGAGTATAGACTTGTTTGTTTGTTTTATTTACTATTTTACTTTAGGTGCATATTATATCTGGCATTTCTCCCCATGTTATCCCTCCCCCACCTTTCCCTCCCTCCCCACCTCCTGCTGTCTCTCCCCTACCCTCCTCAACTGCCCCCAGTGTGTGATGCTCCTCTCCCTGAGTCCACGTATTCTTGTTGTTCAACACCCACCTATGAGTGAGAACATGTGGTGTTTGGTCTTCTGTTCTTGTGTCAGTTTGCTGAGAATGATGGTTTCCAGATTCATCCAAGTCCCTACTAAGGACACAAACTCATCATTTTTTATGGTGGCATAGTATTCCATGGTATATATGTACCACATTTTCTTTGTCCAGTCTATCATTGAAGGGCATTTGGGTTGGTTCCAGGTCTTTGCTATTGTACACAGGGCTGCAATGAACATACATGTGCATGTGTCTTTATGGTAAAATAAGTTATAGTTCCTTGGGTATATGCCCAGTAATGGGATTGCTGGGTCAAATGGAATTTGTATTTCTAGATCCTTGAGAAATCGCCACACTGTCTTCCACAATGGTTAGTTTTAAGCAAGATAGTGCTGTAATATCCCTTTCACTTTAGAAAGATGATTCTAGCTACAGGGTGGATTGGAGTGTCAAGGACAAGGAAAGGGCAACATAGTACATTTGTGTGAATTAGTCTGATAAATTGCTGTGCCCTCCTTATTTTACAGACATGAGAAATGATGAGGAACCCAACATATGGAATTTAGGACGTAAAGAACGATGGGGTTTGGGAGGCGGGCAAGAGTAAAGGTAGCAACTTTCATGGTAATAACCAGTCAAAGGGCAGATGGTGGTGGAAATGGAGAGATGAAGATAGGTTCGAAACGTGTTCATAGGATGGAAAATATGGGACTTGATCATTGGATGTAGATGGTGAAAAAGAAAGAGGCTCTGGATTTGGCAGAGGAAGAGCTCAGTTCTGAGCATGTTAGGGCCATTCACAGAAGTGAAAGACCAGGATGAGGAAGAGTTACTTGCTAGGAAAAATAATGAATTTGATTTTTGAGCATTTGGTGTCTGTGGGATACTTCAGCCAAAAGGTCTGGAGCTCAGAGTGCCTTCAATAGAGAGATAAACAGAGATAGAGAAGGGATCAGCATTCACATGTTAACTGAGATCATGAGAATAGCTATGACCTATACAATGTGTGGAGTCAGAATAAAAGAGGATCCTGAGGAATGCCAACATTTAAAGTATTGGCAAAGGAGAATGAGAGGGAGTGGTTAGAAAATCAGGAGAGGATAGTATTCTTATCACCAAAACTGGAGAAAATTTCAGGAATGGCGGTGGGGGGGGGGTCTTTAATTCCTTCTAATGCTACTGTGTTCCACCAAGATAAGGAATGAAAAATGTTCATTTGATTTAATAATAAGAAGTGATTTATAATCAAGGTGAGCAATTTGGGTACAGTGGTGAGGCCAGGTGGGTGCAGACTGAGGAATTAAAAGGAGGTCAGTAAGTGGAGACGGTGAATCTAGGTGTTTCTTCTCAAGAAGTATGGCAATGTAAGAGGAAGACACACAAGGCCATAGCAGACAGTCAGACATTTAAAGGATTGATTTTCAAGAGGAGAGAGGTATGAGTTGATTTCAAAGCGAATGAGAATTAGGTAGTATGAGACAGAGAAAAGGAGGCAGAGAATGAGATCCAGGTGAGGTTGCCTTTGGGATGTTGAGGCAGGAGAGAAAGAGGAGGGTGGGTGGAGATACAGGTCTATGTGCAGGTCATACAGGTGTGGTGAGAGGACACTGAGGGCATTTTCAGAGGATACTTGAAACAAGATGGAGCGATAACTCTCACTTATGGGATAGAAGATGAATGAAGTGGAAGCTTTAATACAAATGGATAATGTCTGAATTAAGAGCTATGGAGACTGATTGGGAGGCTTAGAAGAATGCCTGGGAAGAGTTGGAAAACTTGACTGGAGATCATGCCCTCTGCACAATGGTAGGACTTTTCATCAACAACATCAACAGCCCAAAAGTGAAAGCAGAGAAGGCAGAGAGGCAGGTTGAGCCTAGTTTAGGGTGCTGCAGAAATGGGTATGAAAACAAGAAAACAGAATGAGGGGCTCAGGATATGACTGAAAAGGAAGTAAAATATTGAACTATGGAATATGCAAAGCAGGATGCTAAAAGTGAAGATTGGAGTCAGAAAGCAGTAGAATCAAAAAATGAGAAGTGGACTAAGTATTGATGCAATGCTACTAATCATGTAATCGTATTGCCACCATGGTGCTCATAACGTAAGCGGGTTCTCATGTTCATGGCTTAGTAGGAAGGATAAGGACTGAAAAGTATTCATTTGATTTAATAACAAGAAGATTGCAGGTAACCAAGGTGAGAGTAATTTGGGCACAGTCATGAGGCTAGATGGGCGGAGATCTAGGAATGGTTCAAAATGGAAGCCTTAATGCCCACATGTATAG